ATAACACTTTTCAAGGAAACAAACTGCTCAGAGCATCTATACAAGTATAGCTTTCAAGTGATCCACTGAGATTCAGTTACAGGAGACAAGAACATATTTTTATTTTTTACAAACACCCTAGTATATTTCTATTTTACTTGCCCTATGAAAACGAGTTTCAAAACTGAAAATAGTGAGGCAATGTTCTTAGCTTCCCAAACTTCATCTTCATTCTACCAACTAATTGTGTGGAGCTTTATTCCCTGGCAGTTTGCTTGGGCAAAAATCTTTCAAGACTATGTGTGTGTCAGCTACACAGCATAATAGGGAAAGCCAGTATGGGAGTTTACCAAATTAACAAGAACAGCGATCTTCCTGGACAGATTGCTCTCCTTAATTATAGCTGTTGGGGATTGAGTCAGCTGCTCGAGCAACAGGAAAAATCAGAGGGTCATTAAGATGGTCTATTAATTTTCTGTCATGAGAAGCTCCATGGCTACAATCTGTACATGCAGAATGAGAGAACATTTTCCAAGATCTCAGCCTTCAACACTCTTCTGATAATCCTTTCAAATCCCTATGTTAAACTGAAGGATCAGAAAGTGGTGACTTTTATATGACACTTATAATAGTTAAAATTCATTATATAGAATTCTTTTCTTTACCGTCTTAAAGCTGAAAAAAGAGAGGAAAAGGAAATTTAATCCAACTCATTGCTTTCTTTTGCTAAAAGTGTAACTTGGTCTCATAGTTATAGCTAAAAATGCATGTTACAATCAATTTCTTGATTCAATTTTTTCTCTGAAATAGCAGCTATCTTTTATAAATATTAAAAAATACATTTTTGAAAAACAATTAAATAATCAAGGCATGCATTAAATGCCAGCAAAACCATAGGGGTTGTAGCTGTAATGGCGTTTATTTACTGATTAAGTATGATTTTTTAAAATGCCTTCAAACGACTACCAATTTATTTCCCTTCAGAAATCTATAGGAACAACTTGCAGTGACATCTCAGCAACCTTAAAGAGCTACAGCATTTCCAAGTCCTTGATAGCAACATGAGAGAGAAGTTAGAACTTGAGCTGGCTGACTAGCAAAAGCTGTGCTGAGAGTTCTGCAACCTTAATATTCCTGGAATTCACAGTCCTTAGTATCTCATAGCAGGAAAGGTCACTTTTGTTTAGATCATTTTCAGGAGCTAACTCACTCTTCCCAGATGCCAAGATGGAATAATTAGCTTTACTAGAATCAACAATTGAGAAAGAAAGCAAGTATCAATTTAAGGGAACTTTCTAATGTTTGTAATCTGTCTGCCTATACAAAGAGAAAGTTATCATCTGAATGACTAAACTCTGGGCACCCCACAAGAGCATTTCAGTAATCTGGTAAGAAGAAAAGAGGAAGAGTAAAGCAAAGGACCACAGTAGTCATCTCATTATATTGGATATGTGAATGAAAGTGTAGAACAGAAAAATAACCTAGGGTTCTAAAATGTAATATATGAATGAAGTATTACAATTATATGTTAAGTGATTTACCAGGTGCTGGGTCTTCAATAATACAGTTTTCTTAAGCTATAATTTAAATTTCTTAAGCTATAATATGTATTTCATTACTCCTTGACTAGCTTTGACTAGTTAGGCCTAGTAGCATCTCAAGAATATATTCCATTTCTTTATTTGAATAAAGGACTAATACGTTTGTTAAATTGCTAAAAGGGAATAGTATCTGATCCTTTTTAAGAAACTTCATAAGGAAAATCCAACATATCAATAACTTGTTATCTATGTCCCAAATTTAAATGAAACTCCATTAATTAATTTAAATCAGGGTCCCGCTGCATGCTTAGAAAAAAGCAAGACTATTTCATCATTACCAGTAAAAAAAAAAAATGGGGTAAGGGGAGCTGGAGGAATGGCTTGGCAGTGGAGTACCTGACTTGCAAGTTCAAGGCTCTGAATTCAAACTCAAAAATAATAAGTATTTTTTTAAACTCTATCTTTTGGAAATACTGTAATAAGATTTTTTAAAGAGATGTTATTTTGCCCTTATCTGTCATTTTCTAAATACATTATTTTGTAATATAATCAAGACAACAGAGAATAGTCAATAGGTGGCTATGTTAACAAATGCTCATAAGCAAAGCTTGACAGTACTAGAAGGTCAATGGATTTCTTGACACAAAATAACTTTATCACTAGAATAGCAAGCCCTCATATATGACAAATGTCTTTGTAATAAATACAAATGGCAGAAAGATTTTTGCCATAGGAATACATGAAAGCATATGTTTCCTGTTTTATTCTTATGTTGAATTTTCCTTAGTAAAATTCTCTTAAAAAGGATCAGATATTACTCTCTTATAACAACCCCACAAACATATGAGTCCCTTATTAAAATTCTACAATAATGAACGTTTATGCCATATTAGTAAATAAGATGTAGGGAGGAAACAGTCTTGCACAATTCCATCACATTTTATTCTTTCACCAACCATGAACCCTGCAGAGATGCCTTACTCTTTATCCTTTCCAATGGTATGAACAATCATCTTAGTGTGTATCAGTCTATTAAGTTTGTCTTATCTTTCCCATTGCTCTTCAACCTATAGCAATTAATATGGCGAATTTCTAGTGGAGAAGAAGATATACTCACATATGGAATGTGCCTACCATGTTAAAATTTATCTACTTATTCACATAGCAAGAGAAATTTTAACTACCCACCTACTAAGTTAATGCTGTGAAGGATATTCAAAGTAGGCTTTCTGATTTACGTTAGTTCTTTAGGGTTTTGGGGTTCATTTGGTTTGGGGATTTTTTATTTTTATTTTATTGTAAAGATGCTATACAGAGGGGTTACAGTTACGTGAATAAGGTAATCAGTACATTTCTTGTCTAACATTGTTAACACCTCCTTTGTTTTTCTCCTACTTGCCCTTACCTCTCCCACTCCCCACTCCTCGCCCAAAGTTGTAAAGTTCATTTCCAACATAGTGTCTTGTGAGTATCATTGTTGCAATGGGTCATCCTGTGTCTTTGTTTCAGCATTTTGTTATTCTCCTTCCCCAAATCAGATAAATGTATATACAAGATACAGGGAGCCAAAATCCAATACAGTGACAACAGGGGATATACCATAGGGGGAAGAACATACAATAGAAACAAAAAAATCAACCAGGCACCGATGGCTCACGCCTGTAATCCTAACTACTCTGAAGGCTGGGATCTGGGAAGGAAAGTCTGTGAGACTATTATCTCCAATAAACTGCTCAGAAAACCAGAAGTGGCACTGTGGCTCAAGTGGTAGATCGCTAGCCTTGAGCTAAAGAGCTGAGGGACAGAGCCCAGGCCCAGAATTCAAGCCCAAGATGAAAAAAAAAAAAAAAAAAGAAAGAAAAGAAAAGAAAAGAAACAAAACAATCACATAGTATATTAAAAACAACAACTAAAAACTTCTTGTGTCCGTATCTTGGGGTTCATTTCAATTAACATCATCTTATATGGTCATATGTACATAGCTCTTGAGCTATTCTGGTCATGTGCTAAGATTATCCTAGACATATACTAATTATTGCAAATAAGGGGAACCATGGGACCTGTATTTCTTTGGGTCTGGCTGACTTCACTTAATATGATTTTTTTCCAAGTCTTTCTATTTCCTAACAAAGGGGCGGTGTCATTCTTTCTGATGGAAGCATAGAATTCCATTGAATGTATATACCACATTTTCTTAATCCATTCATCTGCTGAGGGCATCTGAGTTGGTTCCAGATGTAGCTATAGTGAGTTGATTTATTTTTTCTGCTACTTCATTAAAATAATAACAGGAAAATATAGCCTGGTTTATTTCAGGAATATGACATCGGTTGGAGCAGGTCAGTTTGAAATTTTGTTAAAAGATAAAAACAAAGTTAAAATATCCCTGTTGCTTTTTAGTTGACATATTTAATGACAAGGGACAGAGCAGATTTTAATTTATTGCATTATGGCTTCTATAGTGCTCCTAGGTATAAGCACCATATGTGAAAGATGTTTCAAGGTATCATAGATCATCACTAATGTATAGATATTAAGATATCTACATAATACTTATTAAAGTACCATGAAACAAATGTTTCTGATGTGAAAAGTATGTATTGAGAACCCTCCAGCTAATAACCAATTTCACAAGATAAAGAAAGTATAGTACAAAGAATATAGGTAATTTACAGAAAGTTACAAGCCATTCCATAACAAAATAAAAATGCTGGTCTCCTAAAATAGTTCTGTTGTGACTGAAGCTAGCTCATAAATTTTCTTTTCTTCCATGATTTCGGAGACAGATTGCTGTAGGTCTTTCAGATTTGTTCTAGGAGAAATCTGGAGGAATAGACAATTGGTCCAAAAATACTTTTTTAAAAATAAAATCAGTGGGCTGGGGAGGTGGCTCAGTGGTAGAGTGCTTGCCTTGCATGCATGAGGCCCTGGGTTCGATTCCCCAGCACCACATAAGCAAAAAGAAAAAAGCTGGAAGTGGCGCTGTGGCTCAAGTGGTAGAGTGCTAGCCTTGAGCTAAAAGAACTGAGGGACAGCGCCCAGGCCCAAAGTTCAGACCCCACGACCGGACCCAAAAAATAAAAAAAAAATAAAAAATAAATAAATAAAATCAGTGCTTTTCTTCTTGTTTTTGCTTTCTTGTAATTTTCTTTTCTTTTTCTCTAAGCTTTCTATTAGCTATTCTGTAAATAGCCTCGTTATACCTACTTGATCTCACTTATTTTGAATGAATCTATACCACTATCATCAGTTTCTTCTGTAAGTTTTCCCTCTTTCTTAAGGTCCTATTATATCCTTCACAAATGCTCCTCTCAGGGATTCCTCTCCAATACCCAAAATGCTTCTCCTTTCTTCAGCCATGCTCCTTTGCTCCAAGTTAGAAAATAGTTTTTGAGCTTAGTTCATCTTTAAATATATATCTTCTATTTCCTAACTCTACAGAAAATTCGCTACTTTGGCTTCCACTCTATTTTCCACAACTACAAAGGAATATATAAGATGATTTGTCACTCCATTTTGCTTATTGAAAAGTCACTTGGAAGTTGCCATTAGTTTAAAATGTTTAATCTTAGTGCAACCACATATTTCCCAATCTCCTTCTACTTAACTAAACTTTGAACAGTTTTTTCTTTCGGCACCATTACCCATTTCCTTAGCTCATCTACAATAGAAAACAAATTATTCTAACCTGTTTTCTTTATTCCTTCCAGAGGCAAATATTCTACCTCATAAGCATGGCTTTCTATAAGACATGGGGGAGAGACTCCTTTCTTAGAAATATAATCATCAAGAAATATCCAGCTAAGGCCTCTATAAACTGGTCTTTGTGAGTTGATAGGAGATTACTTTGAGTAGAAATTAGAGAACACAAATGGCCTGATTTCATGATCAATCTTCCTCAGAGGTCCTCCAGTGATTTTCCATTAGCTTACTTCTGAGTTTAAACATCCTCTTGCTATCCATCCTAACCATGTTCCTTTCAATCTCTCTCTGGCTCTGAAATAGATTTAATAAGGTCTTCCTTATCTATGTAATTCAAACTGTGACAATTTTTTGTACAACACCTTTGTGGGCATAGGACCCTTCTAAAAAATCTCTTAAATGCTCTTCTACTTGGGATCCCATTTTTGCAAATGACATTATTAATTAATATTTAGTGTCCCAATTTTCTCTCTTTCCAGTAAGATCTGAAGTGACTAGACACTAGGCAGGTTAAAATGGAATCTAATTTAAATACCATGACACATTGTGTCTCTAGTGCAAGTTCTGTTCTTTATTAGAATTAAGTTCTTAAGTAAACAATTGACTATCTCTATTTCCCCATTTTTTCATTTATAAGTAACAATAGCAATTATTTTCTTCCTCATGGTACTGGAATTGAGTAATGTCCTTAATGGAACCAAATGAGCTTTGTCCAAGAAATTATAGATGTTAAATTTTACCTGGAAATTTTAATGAATGAGATTATGGAAAGAGCATGTTACCTTTTAGATAAATGACAACATATAAAAAAGAAAACTTACGGGAAATGAATGGAATTAGTTAGTATGTCATAAAAGTAAAGACTACACCAACAAAGTGGTTTCATCATAAATGGAAGTAAAAAGCTTTTGAAAAAGGAATGGAAGGAGGGGTTGAGGGAAGGGAGGAAAAAACAAGGGGAGAAAGGAAGAAATAGAGGAAAAAGGAAGGGAAGGGAAAAGAAAAAAAGGAAGGGAAGGACAAAAGAAACAGTATCTTTCTCTGCTAAAACAAAGTAGCACAAAAATGACAGAAATGTATATTTCACAACTCTGAAAACAGGGAGTCTGAGATCCAGGTGAAACATGTTTGGATTCTGATTTATAGATTTTTCTTTTCTGGGATGGAACTTTTGTCTTTTCCTTCTGTCTTCTCCTGGATATGTGTGTGTGTGTGTGTGTGTGTGTGTGTGTGTGTGTGTGTGTATGTGTGTGTGTATCTATATACAAATATATACATTAAAGAGTTAATGAGCAATACTACTTAAAGATTTTTTTAAAACAGGAAAAAGCCATTATCTTAATTAATTATCTTCTACTTTCTCCTTATTTAAGATTGCATAGGTCAATAGTTGATTTTTCCATGTTCCTTTGTTCCTTCAAAGCATTTGATCGGTGATAGTTGACCTGCTACTTCCATACACACTACCTTCAGAATATACTTTCGAAAATAAAATATTTCACAAAATCTAACATTTCTTTTTGCTGCTGTAATAAAAATGTACGTTTCTTGGCATACAAGTGAATTATGATCATGAACTCTCTGGTTAATTTTGTGGTACCACTTTTGTATAAGTCTTGTTCTTCTAGTTATACTATATGACTCCATTCCCTGAACTCTACTTTGTGATCTCTTGCCTCAGTAGCAAACAAAACTACAAATTCCTGTCTATAGCTATACTACTCTGAATGCACCCAATGTTTTCTGATCTTAGAAGCCAAACAGGATCTTGTTTAAAATTTGAAAAGTATCCAAAAGTTTGAGAATTCCCAAATACGAGGTCACATGGAACTCTATCAATAGATGTGGCATATTGTAGGATCATTTAAGAGATTTCACAACAACCACCATCAGAAAAAGAAAAAGAAAACCCAGTGAGCCCTAAGCTATGAAATTCTGAAAAGGTTTCTGAAAACCCTCAGGATGTAACGAAACACATGACAGCAATGACAGTAAATTCATTTAATTGAATTGCAGGGCAATGTGCTGTCTTCATACTGTGTGAAATTGAATAGAAAGTTCTAGTCTTACAAAATAAATATTTTCACGTGAATCTGTTTCCTGTGGGTGGTATATTTCCATCTTCTCTTTCGTAGTCAAAACTTTAGAGTCTCCATATAACCTGTCCCTGCTAATTTCTTCAGTAGTTCCCTGTTCACATAAGGCATTCTTATCTAGTGATGTATGCCCAAAGTCACCTGTACTTTGTTAAAGTAAATGTTATTTTCCTTTTTTTCTCTTTTAACAATTTGGGGTTCATGAATACATGTTTTGTCTTGTCTTTCTTGAAATTATATCCACATCTATCATCCCAGATAGAGAACTGTTGATTTTCCCTTCCTTTTAATCAATTTTCAAATCCAGCATTTGAAAATGCTCAAATTTTCAAAGCTAGCAGGGCCCTTCTTTTCACGTTTGTCTTTCACTGTCCAAGCCTTGAACTCTATTCTCTTCTTGGTTCTCTTTGTTGTTGTTGCTTTTCATATGCATTTTCACAGTTGAAAGGTATATCCACTTCAATGATTTCAGTTGCATTCTAGCTTTATCTCCAAAAGTGGTCCCTAAACACCTGTAGGGTGTTTTCTAATTAAGTACTGAACACTAAATCCCCATCATAATTTTTCCCACAGAATTTTAAATTTCTTTTAAAGTCCAGGACAAATTTCAACTCCTTTCGTTGCGCTATTTATTCAATCCTTTTAGAATTTGAAAAATCTATAGAATATAAGTTTTTGAGAAAAGTTGTATTTCTATTTGTGACTTTATCCAGGCCATTAGTAGAGGACATACTGCACAATACTAGAAACTACAATTTTATAGTCAAGATTCACTTAAATCCTTCAGCAACCTCACTGTAGAAGCATCTTTCTGCTTACAATGTTGAAATTTAAGTTCAAGGTTATTAATCAAGACTTAAAAATATTATAGACACTTTAAATGAAGATTCACATTGAGGAATAAAAGGAAGCTTTCTAAATAATGCAATCTGAGAGGAAGCTTACAAGATGACATTGAGTTAAGAGGACCAATTTACTGTACACCTGTGTGATTCTGTTTATGGTATAAAGATGATATGTAGTTTGGGTTAATGAGTTGTAAACCAGCACAGAGCATGAGCCATGAAACTACAGACAGGAACTTTTTCAAAAAGAATATTTTATGCTATAATTGAATTTTGTTTTGTTTCTATGTGCTGGTTTGGGGTTTGAACTTAAGGCTTGGATGATATCACTGAGCTTTTTGCTCAAGGCTAGTACTCTACCACTTAAGCCAGAGCTCCAATCTTGTTGCTTTGGTGCTTAATTGGAGTTGAGTCTCATGGCCTCTTCTGTCCTATCTAGAATCAAACTAAGAGTCTCAGAGCTTAACTTCCTGAATAGCTAGGATCATAGGCATAAGCCATGATTAATACACACATATCTACAGAAGAGATGGAGTTTTGTGATGGTTGCTTCTGTGTCCGTATGACTGTATTGAAGGACACTGGAATTCCTTAAAAACACGGGAATCAGGTAAACCAGTAGTATGTCCTTTTTTTTTTAGTTGTGAAAATACCATACAGAGGGGTTACAATTACATGGGCAAGGTAATGAGTACATTTCTTACCAAGCATTGTTGCCTCCTCCTTTGTTACCCCTTCTCATCCTTCCCCCTCTCCCCCTATGCCCTCTTCCCCCCAGCACCTCCACTAACCCCGTGCCAAATTTGCAAAGTTCGTTTTGCAAAGTTCGTTTTTCAACATAATATCTTGTACATCTCATTGTTACAATGGGTCCACCTGTATCCTTATTTAAACAATTTGTTTTTTCCCTTCCCCTCCTCAAATTATACCAACATCAAATATAGTGAAAACAGGGGTTATATCATGGGGGAGGGACATACAAAGCAACAAAAAATCATCTTATAAATACGTTAGGAACAATAGCAAGCAAGAAAAACCATTTGAGTCCTTATCTTGGTTTCCCTTATTTGCAATTACTAATATATGTCTGAGACAAGCAGAAATGGTCAGATAAGTTGATGTTAGGCAAAATGAATTCCAGTAGTATGTTTTGAACCAAGTCTAAAGTTCTCAGAACCATGAGACTCTCAGACTAAATTCAAAAACTAAGAAACCTCAAGTGCAAGTTTTGGATTCCCAAGGCCAAAGACTCTGGAATACTCACAAATCACTAACTGTAGCAAAGGAAGTATCTTTGGACTTCTATAAAAGATTTCACATAGATATATTCTAAGGAGCATTTTGAAAATTGTTAAGTTTTGAGGAGTAAAATAATGAAAACTGCATTTAAACTGATAATATAGAGGAAGAGTAGGTAAAATCAGTCATCCTACCCAATGTAAGTAATTATGTAAAAATGGAAGCAGGTGACTTGAGAGGATGGCTAGGGTTAAGGAAAGATGAGGAGAAGGATGAAAATGGCAACACTGAATAAGATTCACTGTACTTACAAACTCATTTGTTGAATTGAAACCCCTTACAACTACTTAAAGAACTTAACTATAAATAAATAAATAAATAATACAACAATGCAAAGTATAAAAATGATTCTTTTAATGCCAAAGTTAAGAATTAGACATTATGTAAGGCACAGGCTTCCTGCACCATGCAAACCCAAATGTATTTTTTTCATATCTTATATCTATCAATGTTTTGATCACTCTAAGTACCACTGAGACCCCTCCCCACTTTATCTGCTTGTTTGTGTGTGTTTATCTCTCTTACTGTCCTTGTCTCTCTTTATTTCTG